GACTGTGTTCCCCGGTAACTGGTCCCACTGCACCACTTCCTGACTCTGTGTTCACCTGAACCTCGTCTCCCCTGAGAGCCTGCACATCATAAACATGTCTTGCATCATTATCAGGTCCTGCTGTTATCCTGCGGCCAGATCCCATGATACACTCTGTGGGAGAGATCAGCCATTACTCAACACACAGTGAGGGTACATCCGCAGGTCGTGGCCGTATATCAAGAGAAGAAATGAAAATAAAGCCTTATAATGTGTACCGCAGCAAGGCCAATTTATAAAACAAAGGACTTGTAGGTTATAGGTTAGAGGAGAACAACACAACAGCAACCTCCCAGTTAAGGAATAAATTAAAAAATGTAAACAGCTTACTGTAAATATGAATGCATTTGGATGTTAAGGGATAACTGGAGGGCAAAAAAACCCCTAAAAATCTGTGCTTTGTTTCCTTTTTTTCTCTAAATTGGAGCATGATTTAGAAGAATGACACATTTTCTGTTTTTCTAAAAAGACTGAATACATTTCTACCCAAAAACTCACAAAATCTTTTTTTCAGTAAAGGCTTCAGGTTTCCATTTTACTCCTTCAGCTTCTATTTAGTCATATACTGTGTTGACAGGAAGACTTTTGTAGGAGGTCTGTATGGAACACTCGTACGAATCCACCATTAAGCTAAATGTAAACTCAGACGAGGCCACATGTATAAACACTGCTTTATGACCAATGCAGTGATTGAAGCGACACATTAGACCTACCTATTGACCCAGTTATGTTGACTATCAGCTGCATTATCTCATAAATGGAACCTGTGTATGCTCTGAGGATCATTCAGTCATTCAGTTTTCTGATGCGAAGATAAATTCAACTCAGACCAAAACTGAAGCACTGACCCGACGGAAAACCATTGTCTAGAACCATTGTCTCACACATTAGACGGCGGCGTAATTACACGAGACCAAACAGAACATCATAGAAGACGCAGGCAGGTGTGTTTGGAGACGGGTCGATGTCATAGTTCCGCATAATGTACACACGCACGCACAAACACAAACACACAGACAAATGTTTCCGAGCTTCACGAAGCCAGATTTGGTTGTGAGGCACGCAGGGCTGATGTTCTGTTCAGAGTGGGTGACAATGAACGATGACCTTCAGGTCAGTGTTTACGCTCATTTCCTAAACAAACTCCAACGTCTCCGCCGTGAATGAGTGAAACCTGAGCTGCAGGTGTATTTGACACACACTCTGTGTGTGTGTGTGTGTGTGTGCGTGTGTGTGTGTGTGTGTGTGAGAGTGTGTGTGTGTTACTGTTTGTGTACAAGACGTAAGGAGGGAAACAGCTCAGTTACCCAACAATAGTTTGTAGATCATTGGCAGGTAAGGGTCACTTTGGGGTCTGAGGACTGGGTTTTTGTACCAAACTATAATTGTGGGGACATTTTCATCCTGTGAGAAATAATACACTTCCTCATTAACTACCAGGGTATTTTTAGGAATACTAGAAAATTCAAGGATAGTATTTAGTATTTGATTGTGTTGTTAAGTTTGAGTAGACGATGTAAGAAGTACACTGTGTATAGATCGGCAGCTGAATATGCTTTTATATTTTTATATGCCACTTTTTGTGGTGGAATTGTTACTGATTGTTGAAAGACAGGTGTTGATGTTGAGGACTTAAACCTAGCAGGGTTAGATTAGGCTGTTCTAACTAATGTTAGTCAATGCTCTGTCTTAGAAAAAGCGAGCAAGAGTTAGGATTAGAACAAGGGTCAGTTTTGAATTAGGTCGAGGATTAAGATTGGTGATGTGGGTTGGACTAAGTGGTAGGTTAGGTAATGTACTCTACTTTATGACCAGTTATCAAATCATTAACTTTACCCCAGCCCTCTGTGTTCACTTTGTTTCCTTCTCTCTCAGTCCGCCCAAGTATCTGTCAAAATGTGGTATTACTTATCTAGTTCTACTCTAGTACTGTATCTACTCTAGCACTACTTATATTTTACGTCCACTGTTGTTTTTGACGTCTGCTACAACCACAATCACCGTGATCAACCATCACAAGTACCGTCTTTTTATTAACCAATAAACCGTAGATCATTATGTCACACTACTACAGATGAAAACTAGCCTTCTGGCTAGTTTTGGCTTTTTAACCATGTGTAATCATGTGTTTTATGAAATTGCACTGCCCCCCTATAAATAAACTAAACACAAATTCATTTATAATACTGTATGTGTAGAGATTATAGGATTACAGGTTATATACTTGCTCAATACCTGCTGAAATGCAGCCTTGACTGTTGTATTTTCATCTTTTTGTCTTTTTGTAGATTGTAGAAATTGTAGTTTTCTCTGATGTGTAATATCAGTTTGTACATGAGGCCCTTCAACCACAGGATAACTGTGATGATTCTGTTGTTGCTGTTAGATGTAATTTATTAATCGCAAGAAAATCATCACAGAAAAATATCCCCAAAAACTTGTGAGGTTACCAGATAAAAGTATTGTATGACAGACTGTTGCTGCATTGATCTTGTCGCTCTCCTCTGAAGTCAAACTCATCACAGCAGTGGCTTGGCTCCAGCCCAGCAGATGAGCCAAACAGGTGTGTTGTGGAATAAGATGCACTAATAATTGGTATGCCTCACTCAGTTTCTCTATGGCAACATACCCTGTTGGAGATTATCGGATACAACTGCGCCATCCATGCACACCATCCCGCTCTAAGTCCTTTAGGGGCCAATTACCCAGCACTGGTGCAGGCGGCAAGTCAGAGCACGGCTGTGGCTCCTGGACTGCTTGTGTGAACGCGGCTCCCTTGATGATTCTGTGGCTTTGTGAAGAGAAACGAGGCTGGAGTCGCTTCAGAATCAGACAGAGACAAAAGTTCAACATGTAGTTTTAAATATTGCATGTGATGCCCAAATACTACTCCAAGTAAAACTTAAAATTATTGTTTATATCATACTATACTTTGGTATAGTTCTTTAGATCTGTATCTCATTATTCTGGTGAGGGGTCGGTGTTGCCCCGGCAGTGGGGGAGACAGACGGCTAGTTGTCGAGAGACTTGGTGAAAATCAGTAATTTAATGCTGATCAGTGTAATGAGAGGCTTTAAACATCACACCTGGGCTAAGTCCTCCAATTTCCTCCAAGACAATTTAAATCTCTGTAATTATCCCGTAGTCATCAGAGCAGACGGACAGAGTGAGGAGACAGGTGGATAAAACAACAGACAGCTCAGGAAGGACAGATGTTACAGATGATGCTGCGGAGAGCGACCTACTCTACAAGAAGATTGTCATTTTTTTAGGGTGCGTGGAAAAATAGTTATTCATTATTCATCACTGATGAATATGTTATAACACACAGTGTATAGTTCAGGATCAGTTTCATGGGTTAACTAGTTGGCAGTGTGAGGTGTCTGTTTACGACACATGTAAAGCAAAGCATCTAAAGCCTCAGTCCATGATATGACTGTTGTACAGGAACAGGATGGAGACGATGAAGGAATGAAACGATGAATAACAGACAAACGTTCAGAATCTAGACTTGTGGCTGAATGTGACACTTCTTTAGGATGAAACTTCCCAATAGTGGTCCGTAATGGTGGTCCGTAATGGTGGTCCGTAATGGTGGTCCATAATGGTGTATCATTATTATTATTACTATTGTTCTTGTTGTTGCTGTCAGAGTCTCTTTCTCTGGAATAAATTCCGATCCTTGCAAATATCATTATCGTTGAATAACTTTCTTAGTCAATGTTTTTTTTTTTCAATTTTCATCCATATCTTGCATAACCTGCCAACCTTTAACATTTTCAAAACATTAACCAAAACAATTTTTCAGATTAATGATATGTATAATGTTTTTAAGTTAACACTTTGGTCATTTTGATTTGACACTGTGACAACATTATGGCTTAGGACAGAAAAATACAGTGTGTGTGTCCCATAGTAATATTTCTGAGGACTCATTGAAGACAATAAATACTTTTAATTTGTCACAATAGTATACACTTCTACTTCTACCACTTCTTCTTCTTCACGTCATTGTCAAAGTAAAACTAGAAATTGAGTAACAAGGAAACCTTTAATGAATTATAACCACACCGTGAAGGTGTATCGATGGTAAACGTTTTGTCACCTTTAGATTAAATCCTCCAGATCTGGAACAGAAACAATGGTCCCACCCAGGGATCTAAGACTTGAGATCCACGTCACTGCTATGTAGCTTGGATCCAATACGGGCTGAAAGTATCAGAATAACAACAGACAAGTTCTGAAATGCACAGGGAGCCAGAATGGGGTCAGGTGATTTTATCTGTTGAAACCAGAAACCACCAAACACTAACTTGTTTTCTTCCCAAAGACGTAGAGATGTATGTAGACTTCAAATTGAAAAATTATGCAATGGAAGATAAAAATCATTGGTTAAATAATGGAATAATTCTCACTGAATTTATTATATTGATAAAACATTTTCTGTAGCCTGGTTGGTTACCAGATGTCTCAATAGAAAACAGCATTTGTTTTTGAATATATTCCCTTCATTTAGTTTTTCGATGTAAAGTGCAGGTCATTTGCATCAACAGAGAATATATATATATATATATATA